AAAAACCGAAAAAATTTAGAATAAAATTCAGACGAAACGAAGAAATCTTGGTGTTTATTTTGACTCTCATCTGGACATGAATAGACAAATTTCGGCCATGTGTAAAAGTATTAATTTTCAGATTTATCATATTGGAAAATTAGAACTTTCAGTGATAGTGACACGACTAAAATGCTGGTAAACACTATGGTTACATCAAGACTCGACTACTGTAATTCACTTTTGTACAATCTACCTGAAAATAAAATAAAACGACTTCAGAAACTGCAAAATAAAGCAGCCCGGATCATAACCAAGACGAAACCAAATGAACATAATATGACACCAATTCTGAAAGATCTCCATTGGGTTCCAGTCCGTCAACGTAGCAATCTTAAAATACTGTCTATTACGTATTCTTCTCTAAATGATGATTCTTCACCTCAATACCTTAGAGACCTTCTCAACACCAATAAACCTTGCAGAACCCTTCGATCACAATCAGACAACCTCTTAAATAAGCCTTTTTCAAAAACCAACTCCGGTGATAGATCTTTCGCAGTCGTTGCTCCGAAGTTATGGAATTCAATATCAAACGAAACCAAAAGCGCAAATTCTATTAAAGGTTTTTAAAACATATCTCAAAACCGAACTTTGTAATCAAATATACAACTGATTGAATACGGTTCTAGCTGTGTTTGTGTTAGACTTTTATCATGTGTAATAAATAATGTTCTCCGTTTTTTGTTTATGTCTTTTTTTTATGGATTAATGTGTTGTGATTGTTGTAATTTTATATTAGTTGTACTTATGTAAAGCGAGTTGAATTGTTGGTGCTATATAATAAATCAATTATTATTATTAACGCTAGAATTAAAGTAAGAAAGAGACCGAATGAATCTGGAATTAAAGTCAGAAAAAAACAAAGAAATCTAGAATTAAAGTCAGTACAAAACGGTAAAGAAGTTAGACAAAAACGATGAAATCTAGAATTAGGGTAAAAAAAAACCGAAGAAATCTAGAATTAAAGTCAGAAAACTGTAGAAATCTAGACTTAAAGTCAGAAGACCGAAGAAATCTAGAATTAAAGTCAAAAGGAAATCTAGAATTAGGGTCAGACAAAAGTCACGAAATCTAGAATTAAGGTCAGAACAAAAACAGTAAAGAAATCTAGAATTAAAGTCAAAAGAAAATCTAGAATTAGGGTCAGACAAAAACGATGAAATCTAGAATAAGGGTCAGAAAAAAAAAACAATAAAGAAATCTAGAATTAAAGTTTAAAAAACCCGTAGAAATCTAGAATTAAAGCATGAACAAAAAGAAGAAATCTAGCATTAAAGTTTGGAATTAGTTTCATCTAAATCATATATCAAATACTCGTAATATTAACGCAATATGAAGTCGTAACTCGTTAATAGCTTGGAATGTTCAAATATCATTTCAGACTTTGCAAAGAGGGCAGCTATCTTGTCGGTTCAATTTCTATTTGTCAAGTTCAGACCATCCACATAAGCAGTTTACGTCTCTCGACGCCATTTGAGGGATTGTTAATTTCTAAACCATCTACAGAAACAGTTTATGTCTGTCAACGTCATTTTGGGGATTGTTAATTACTAAACCATCTACAGAAGCACTTTACGTCTCTCAACGCCATTTGAGGGATTGCTAATTTCTAAAAGGCATATCCGTTGAAAACGGATATATCAATGAAATCTTTTGACGAGCCTCTTTTTTTTAAAAGAATTCAACCCATGCCTGGAGAACATCTGCATTTCATATTTCGATTCTGCTTTCTTGATACTTGAAAAAGGCGATCAGCAACTTGAAGTATACAAATCAAACGCCAAAATGAAATAACCCATTTACCGTGTCTCAGTTTGGTTATCGAGAGTATGAAATTCATTCAATAAATTTCCTTGATCAGTGTGGTGCGGCGATCATTTACCATGAGAGAGAGAGAGGGGAATTTTGCCCGGGCAGCGTGTAACGCAATGAGAGAGAGAGAGTGTGTGAAGGGGGTTTAACGTCCACTCGACACAATCTATGTCATTTCGGGACTAACACATGGTTTACTTTAATTTCAATAATTCGCTTGCGCGTAGGGATCTTTAGCAGTGGGAGGAAACCGGAGGACCCGGAGAAAACCCACGAGGTTGGACACCCGACCCTACTCCTTGTCACGTACAACCGGGGAATCGAAACCCCACCAGTTGTCTCAGTGACAGAACTTATTCAACAACGCGCACGTGCTAACCATTCGGCCATCCAACTTCCCTCACTAACCATTAGAACTTTGGCATAAAATACAGACATTGATCGGAGGTGTGAATGTCCTAGTGGTCTAAAGTGTCGAGTTTCGAGCTCTAGCTGACTGGTCGCTTTTTTTCTCGTGGTCGTGGTGTCGATCCCATGCGTGAGTGTATATGGCTTGCAGATTTGATTCCTTCTCTTCTGGGACGAAAACCGAGACCGCATGTGCACAGTGGCCAGTGGCGGCGCCAGGGGGGGGGGGGGGTCTGCCCTCTGTTTGCCCCCCCCCCCCCCACCCCAATAATTTTAGAAAATAAAAAAAAGTATTTGTGATACGTTTCGGTAATCAATACCTTCTACGGTGAATAAATCCCACATCCCCACTCAGTCATAAACTTGCATGTTGTAGAGCATTCCCGACAGTCTATTTTTCAAAATTTTCTTGGCGAGGTCCCCAATGGACTCTCTACTTTGGCGCTCACAAGGGGAATTCGTTAATTCGTTGAGGTTCGCAAGTCCGTTCGTTTGACATTTTGTTCTCTAGTCACATATATAAACTAGTGATCAGGCGACGAACGGTATCTGGGCAGATCTATTTATCTCGACGATCGGTGCCTGACAGAATACTGTAAAACAGCATTTCCGGCAGTCTATTTTTCAAAATTTTCTGGGAGAGAACTCCCTACTTTGACGCTCGTGAGTGGGCTTCGTCGTGGTTCGCAAGTCCGTTCGTTTGACACTTTACCTCATCGATCAGAGCCTGAAATACTGCCAGGCTGCATTTCCGGCAACCTGTTTTTCAAAATTTTCTGGGGAAGGCCCCTACCCATAGTTGAAGCTCGTGCCTTTGCCCCCTTAACCTTGGACTTTGCCCCAGCTTTGCCCCTCCAATCACCGACGGCTGGCGCCGCCACTGACAGTGGCATGTACGTTAAAGAACCCTTGGCAGCTGGAATTCGATATAAGCGTAGCACACTGTATGGCATAATATGCTAGTCTTCATTAACCCAGTCGGATAAGAATAGTAGGACGTTAAACCCCACATCATTTCATTTCCTCGAGAAGGAATCACAGAGACGTTGACCACGCCACAGAATTCATCAGTTTAATGTATAAGGCTGCGGTCACCAATGTGTCGACCACAGATCGTTTGCTCCTTGTATCTCCGAAATAAAAAGGTATTGCAGACAGTATGTCTGAATTCAAATGTCACATGAATTATTATTTAGATATTTAGTCGCGTGGTAAGCCCATAATCAACTCTCTATATCATCGGATGATTTAGATATGGAGTGGACGAGACAATGTCCGTCATATCTACATTACACGCTAATATGGCTGCTTTTAAAGGCGTGAGAATCGAGACTTCGTTTATTATTACGGCAATGATACTTGACAATCGAGAATATGAACCGTTGGCGGAGTTTCCATCTGAGAATTATGGCATTTCTTGTAAAAACTCCAAATACTCATAACTTTCCTCAGAATAAAGTAAATTGACCGAAATGTTCAATATGTTCATTTTTCATTCGATCTTTCTTTAAATGTATCTTTACCCCCCCCCCCCCCCACACCCACAAACACACACACTCTCTCCCGTGTTCCGAAAGATCTGTAGCTGAAAAGTCGGTCTACCACGACCTGGAGAAAACCCATGAGGTTGTACAGGCGACCCTGCCCCTTGTGACGTACAGCCGGGGAATCGTAACCACGCCAGTTGACTCAGTGACAAACCTTATGATACAACGCGCACGCGCCAACAATTGCCCCCCCCCCCCTCCCTTCTTTAAATCTATCACAAATCTAGCTGAAATGTCTGTCTACGACTTCATTGTACAGAATAAAGTGATGAATTTCATATGATTGGTATTGTGTATAAAGCGGATGTATTGTGTTAAAGATCTGTGTTGTATCCATTATGTCTCATGGAATGCATCCGTAACGAATTTTTTTTAAAAATAATTTAAAAAGTCTTTGATATGAACTAAGCTTGTTGTTTTTTGTGTACACGATCAGATATCTCAATTTTTTAAAAATATTTATGACGAATAATGCATTTCTAAACCCGATTTATTTTCCCACGACCTTTTTAGTCAATAAGCTTATTTTAAGGTCCTCTTTAGCTATGTTAATACCCCGTACATCTTTCTATTCTTCTTGTAATATATTTAGCTAAAAATAAAACTTGTTTACATTTAACTTGGGGGAATTGAAGGCCGTGGATAGCGACCTACTTCAAGGCCCTGATATAAATAAATATTTATAATCCTAACTATTATAACTGCTACTAGTTTTAATAACGAATGGAGATATGTATATATTCTGTTATCTTTATCTTTTAACCATTGTATATTTGTCTGAAGAGCATTAGAGAAAGTACTTACAAATATATACAAATGTAGTTCTTTAATTCATATTTTTTTTTTTTTTTGTATATATATATCCAGAAATATTAGCACAACCGTAAAGCTGCACTACTTTGGTTCACGGTAAACATATATATATATACAAGTTAATCCGAACCCTATCCCTAACCCTCGACCCAGCCCTAATGCTTACCCTTACTCTAACCTACAATCTCACCAACAATCACGCGTCCTACCTTATTTCAGCGAACTTGACAAAAATTGAGCTGACTTTAACAAATAGATTTATCCATATGAACATGGTATGTAATATATTATAAAAGAACTATCAAATTAAGTGAATGGATCCAGGGGCTGGTCGTACTGTTAAGGATATTCACTCACTTTACGTTATTTTTCTTTCAGATGAGCCAATTGCAAGGGTTGATGCAAAACAATACACTGGCGGTTGTGATGAATCGACGAAAGACCCAAAATCCCAGAAAACCAAAAACACAGAACTTCACAGCTGCTTACCGGAAGAACCAAGTTTTAAAAACGCATCCACGTGTCAACCAAACGATTGTCGTCAGAAACATGACTACACTTCTCCTCGTCATTATATCTCCGGTATTCCAGAAAACATTTCTCCGAAGTCCGCGTCTTCTGGTCAAGACCAATTCATGGCTTTTCCTATCTGTGCACAAATACCAGAAAGTACAAGTTTGGCATGCAGAAGGCCAGTTTCAAGTGAACCCATGGACTTACATAGGTACCCAGTACCGGCAATACCGCGTGTTATACACAACGGTGAATCATTGGATCCACACAGGACGGACGCATTATCACAACCCTATCCATTAATGATCCAAAATAATCTGCAACAAGAACTTGGACTGCCGAACTATGAAAGTAGGAGATGGTCGATTTTAGGAATTCGTGATAAAAGCAGCAACTCCGATGTAAACTATCCGAATAAAAAACAAAGACTTTTCCCTGACCACCCTTCACCGCCCACAACACAAACTTTACCAACAGCTGCATCCGTTTATAAACCATTTCCTCCAGTTGACAAGCCCAGAATTATGAACTGGAATTATGAAATGGGATCAAAACGACTTTGTTATCCCGAAGACTTCAGGGAAGAGTCAAAATTCCAACGTACGTTTCATAGCAATTACTTTCCAAACCAGCAATTAGTAATGCCTATCTGTGGATATCCCTATGTTGCTTTTGATGACCCAACTGCAACTACAATGGACTATTTCAACTACAATGGACAATATCGAGATCTACCTGTGGATTTTCCCCAGAGAAAACCAGACATGAGAACAAAATCCAAAAAACCTGATTATCAAGACACAGTTAAGGTAAAGTTTTATTTTGTGAGGATGTTCATTTGGACCGTGGTGCGGTTTTATTAGATTGTATTAGAACAGTTTGAGGCGGGTTAATGTTTGGGGGCGGTATATTGGAACAGTTTTAGGTGGGTTATTTTGGACCATGGGAAGTTTGGGGGCGGTATTATTAGATTGTAGTAGAACAGTTTTAGGTGGATTATTTTGGACCGTAGGGAAGTTTGGGGGCGGTTTTATTACATTGCTGTAGAACAGTTTGAAGCGGGTTGTTTTGGAGCGTGAGACGTTCGTCGGGGGGGGGGGGGGGGCGGTATTAATAGATTTTATTAGAACAGTTTTAGGCGGATGCAACTGCGTATTGTCAGTGTCGGATGTTCAAATGAGAAATATGAAAGTGGAAATGAAATGAGTTTTCGTGTCTTACTTTGCTCTTATTTCTAATTCCATCTTTCAAGGGTTATCGTTTCATTCGAAGGACTAGACAATGTTCTTGTCAGGACCTCCTTCCTGCACCACTGACAAGGGGAAACCGCGTCGACAAGCAATTGGACGTTTTAAATAATATTATGTATTATTTCATATTTTATTTATTCAGAGTATAGAACTGATTAACGGTGGATTTGGTATTAAGAATCCGATACTTTCCCCTGTTTTACTGGAAAAAGACGTCCCGCTTTCTAACCGTAAGTAACAGCTGTCCACATTTGTACTTTTCAACTGACACATTAACAACGTTTGTACATGCGCATAAGATATTTGTCTAATTGATCTGCTCTGAACGCGACATATCACATCAGACTCAACGGCTAGATCTTTTGTTAAGGTCAACTCAATTTTTGTCAAGGTCGCTGAGATGTCAATGAGGTAAGGGCACGTGCTTGTTGGCGAGATTGTAGGTAAGCGTTAGGGCTAGGTACAGGGTTAGGGTTACGTTTGGGATTAGCGCTAGCCCTTTTTACATCTCTTGACCTTTGACCAAACTTGAAGTTGGTCTTATCAAATAGATGTTACCCAGAATCAACTGCTGTAGCGCAGACAACATTTTACGTTAACAATCACCAAAAAACGAGATAACTATTAATGAGTTCATTTCCCTTTTTCTTTTGTCGTATAGTCTCACTCTGATCAGCAGTGAATATTCGCTAGGCCGCGACAATCACTGATAAGAAATGAAATGAAATGGGGTTTAACGTCCTACTGTTCTGCGCCTAAACTGGGCTAATGAAGACAGGCATACGCCATACAGTGTGCTATGAGGGACACTACGGCCTACTCTTATATCGAATTCCAACTGCCAAGGGATCTTTTACTACTGCACGCCAATATGTACACGGGACCTTGGTTTTTCGTCCCATCCGAACGACTAGACAGCTGTCCTTGTCAGGCCCTACTTCCTGCATCACTGACAAGGGGAAACCACGCCGGGAAATCTGGATGAACTTTCTCGGCCAATGCAGGGATCGAACACCCGACCTCCAGGCTAGCGAGCCAGCGTCTTACCCACTTAGCCACGTGATCCCATCACTGATAAGGATGACATCGATGCGACTTAACGAGCCACAAATACTTACTTTTTTCCTTCGACAAATTAAATTCTAAAACATTTTTTTATGTATTAGAAAAACAAATAAAGACGTTTGAAGTATTTGTAGGTAAAGATTATTTCCTATTTTAGTGTAAATGTGTATTAAAATTTTAAGGCGCCATTCTCCTCGAATCAGTAACGTCTTATGTAAACAATGCACGCGTCATTGAGCCAATGATTGACGCCGCGTGATATGACGTCGTGTGTTGAAGGCAGTCATATTTTACAGAGATATTGGAAGATTTTCGTAATACTCTTTGAAACAGATTGGTATAGTCTGTGTTCTATATTTTACCGTACCCCATTTTTCTTAACAGCTGACACGTTTTGTCTTGTGTCGTGTTAAAGTAACCATGTAAACCGTCGATGAAAACTACTCTTCCGATATATAAGATTTGCGTTGACGATATATATAGAAGGCTAATCTGTTTGACATAAGTATTGCGACTACTAATAGACCTGTAAAAGATGACTACTTTATCATGTGACAGAATGGTGCCTTTTACTCATCTTCCATACCCAGTTACACTAAAAAAAAAGAAATATATTTTACCTACATAGACTTGAAACGCCTTCATTTATATTTCTAATGCTTTAAAAAAATATTCTGGAATTTAATTTGTAGAAGGAAAAAAGTCTATATTTGGGGCTCATCAAGCCGCATCGATGTCATCCTTATCATTGATTATTGCGGGCTAGCGAATATTCACTGCTGATCAGTGTGATAGAAGGCAGATCACGATTAATTTACACATCGACACTCAGTGTTAATTCCTGGTCTTTTTCCCAAATTATCGTTGGGTTGAACCCTTTTCACTACACATAAAACAACAAATGTGCATGTCTTTGCTCCAAAGTTTGTATTAAGTTGAGATACACACTATCTGATTAAAAATACAGATCTATATTTCGTTTCGTTTTTTTTATATACTTTCGATGGCATACACTACATGAAGATCTGACCAGTTGTACTGGGAGGTTGCGTCAGGGGCCATACGAGCGACATTTGACCCTGTGATGTCTGACATTAATCAATCAGCGTTGACGTTTCTAGTGGTTTACCCACAGTTCCGTGCACAGCCCGCCAAGAACTGCATCCATACCGGTTAAGAATAGTAATTACTTCCCCTGAATGCGAGCGTTTGTTTATAACGCTTCTGTATCTCCTCATATCAGTTTTACATGGCATTTGGTTGTTACCCATTGGTCTGGAATCGAAGTACAGTGTTTGAATTTCCTGACCCTTTAGTGTCATTGAGTCAAGTGGCGTGGTTTCGATTCCCTGCTTGTACGTGACAGGGAGTAGGATCGCCTGTCCAACCTCTTGGGTTTTCTCCGGGTACTCCGGTCTCCTCCCACTACTAAAGACCCTTATGGGCAAGCGAATTATTGAAATATAATTGAAACATGTGTTAGTTCCGAAATGACGTTAATCTCTCTCTCTCTTTCTCTCTCTCTCCCTCTCTCTCTCTCTCAAATAAATACAGTATACATACATGCATACATACAGCTGTCTAGTCGTTCGGATGGAACGAAAAAGCGAGGTCCCGTGTACATATTGGCGTGCACGTAAAAGATCCCTTGACAGTTGGAATTCAATATAAGAGTAGGCCGTAGCGCCGCTGCCCGGGTAAAATTTCCCTCATAGCACACTGTATGGCGTATGCCCGTCTTCATTAGCTCAGTTTAGGAGCAGAACAGTAGGACGTTAAACCCAATTCATTTCATTTTATATTCATTCGTTATTGAAACTGGTAAGTCTTAATAGTTAGGTTCACATTGTGATAATCTCTGACACCGATATTGTCCTTTAAACCTTACGTATACATAATTCATTTTTTCAGCCTCAAAAATAGTTGAACACTGTGTGTGTAAGGTATGCGGCAAAACCTTCCCTCAGCATCGATTGCTGGCTCGTCATATTAAAAGCCACAACGAGATCAAGAGATTTTTGTGTACGATATGTGCCAAGGGTTTTAATGATAAATTTGACCTGAAACGACACACAAGAACACACACAGGTTGGTTTATCTTTACAACGTTTAAAGGGACAATAACACTCTTGCTTGCTTGAAAGCTCCAGAAAATAAATAATATCTCTATCTAAGTACTAGATGTTTAAGTGTCCTACCTGTTGTGTAAATTATCCATTACATCCTATTTTACTTGTCCAGAGGGTTCGAAAATATTTTTTTTAAATCGAAGTTTCATTTGAAAAGGTTTACGTTAGACGTTTCAAACCATTATGTCTAATTTTTCAAAATTTTTAAATAAGGTGTGTTAAGATAAAACTTGTATCATCAATTAATTGAAATATTCTAAAATAGTACAATTTGTTGACCAGAATAAAGATTGGGACATATTATTCAGTTACAACAAGAGTGGTATTGAGCCTTTAAACATATGTTATATTTTACTTATAAAAATCCTTGCGAGAGAGAGAGAGAGAGAGAGAGAGAGCAATCTGTTTCATACTAAATGTTAAAAACGGATATTGATCTTAAATAATAATAATGAGGTTTTATATAGCGTCTTCTCCATGTTGACACATGCTCAAAACGCTTTTAATAATGGCTCTACTGGTAAAACTGTCGAAACAGGAAAGTCTTAGTGCTGATTTAAATTGATTAAAAGTTTGTTGATTCTTGATCTGTTTTGGAAGTTCGTTCCATAATCTAGGACCAGCTGAACTGAAAGACCTATACCCATATAACTTTAAATTATATCTTGGAACAACTAGTGACTGTTTATTTTGAGAGCGAAGTGATCTAATAGGGTTGTAGTCATATCAGAATTCAAGCATTTTAAGCTCTGGCCCCGAGTTCACAAAGCATTCTCAAGTTAACTCAAAATGTTCGCCTTAATGTAACTAAAATATAGCCCCGTATAAAACATTTGTTATTTTAATGTATCAAATACATCAATAAGAAACTATGTGCAAGGTTTTGTGTTTCTGGAGCAAAGATATTTCTCATAAACTGTGACTGAAAGTTGAGTAAATTCTTCACCTTAGTCTGAGAATGCTCTGTGAACTCTGGGCCCGGTGCATGCAATATCTTTGGATAACCCACATTGCTTATCGCTTACTGAAAAGAAACGCCAATTTTTTTGCCAACTGCCAACTGATTTCATTTTCAAGAATTTTCATACAATGTATTTGAAAAATGAGGAATTTGTAGGTTTCAATTAGCTTATACATACGTCACCTTGGCGTGCCGTAATCAAAAAATTAAACCACTTGATGTTATGACTTTTTTAGGTGTCCGACCGTATAAATGCTCTCTGTGTGACAAGGCATTTACCCAGAGATGTTCTCTAGAGTCACATTGTAAGAAAGTTCACGCGAGTCGTTTAGAATTTGGTTATAAACAGAGAAGAGAGAAACTACACGTGTGTGAAGATTGTGGTCATACCACTGAAGATCCAGCCAGTCATTATCTTCATCTCAAACATAATCACCCTAACAGTGCTGTATTGAAGAAATTCTACGATAAAAGACAGTTTAAATTTGATAAAAGCGATGATAAGTATATGAACTTTATAAGACCAGAAGAGATTCGTTGTAATGATTTCTGTTTCAGTGATTCGTAACGTCAACCAGGAAACCATTCGGTTCCAACATACCTTGATTGTTGCGTGGATATCCGGATTGATGCGTGGATACCACGAATCCACGATTATTGTGTGAATACACTGATTGGTAAATGGATACCATAATTGTTGCATGGATACCCAAATTGTTGCTAGGATACCCTGATTATTGCGTGGAGTGGATACCACGAATCCACGATTATTACGTGAATACCACAATTGTTGCTTGGATACCATAATTGTTGCTTAGGTACCCAGATTGTTACGTGGATACCCTGGTAGTTGCGTGGAGCCTGCGATTGTTGCGTGGATATCCTGTTTGTTGCGTGGATATCCTGCTTGTTGCGTTGGTTTCCTGCTTTTTGCGTTGATTTAATACTTTCTGAAACACACCCGCCTTGTATGATACATATAATACAGAGGCCCTACCCTACTAATACCAAGTCTTTCATATACAAATAAATATTGTTATTTTCAAAACACATTTTGTTTCTTGATTATGTACATATATAACAAATGAACGAAATGGTTTTTTTTATGGCACGTCAGTAACAAGCGAGCCAAACATGCGATCAGTTATACGAAATGTACTACAAGATCATGACTGGCGACCAATTTTATGATCTACAGTGCATGGTTCGTTTGTTCTGGAAATGGCGGGGGTGGGGGGATACAATTATTTTATGATCTACAGTGCATGGTTCGTTTGTTCTGGAAATGGCGGGGGTGGGGGGATACAATTATTGCTCATTACTGAGCGACATTTCGACATTTATCAAGGGGATCACGGTGGCTAAGTGGGTAAAACGCTGGCTCGCTAGCCTGGAGGTCGGGTGTTCGATCCCTGCATTGGCCGAAAAAGTTCATTCAGATTCATTCATTTTGATGAATCAAAAAGGCGAAATTCTCCGCTCTAATATAGTTTCCATTAAACATACATTGTGCAAGAGGTAAGTCTGCCTATTGCAATTCTTTCTTTGGGCCTGAAATGTTACATAAACTTTTAATTAGACAATGAAAAGACCATAATCAATTTTCGATGTCATCTTATGTGTCGGGTGTTCATTGGATTTTAACCCGAATTGCTGCTCAACGCTCATTGAGGATTTAATTCAAAACTGGATAATCGAGACTATATTTTACCGTACCGACTTTAGTAATAATGATCGAGGCTAAGCCTAAAATTCAAACGCCAATATCTAGCTTTTAACTATTATAGTGATAACTGCCAGCTCTTTATCTTATTTCACATAATGTATCTTTAATTAAATGTTAAATGTAGCAAGTAATGATATGAATAATAATACATAAAAATAATTCATATATAAAAATTAACATCTATTAAAGATACATTATGGGAGATTCGATAACGGGTTGGCAGTTCTCACTATAATAATTAAAAACTAGATAACGTAAAGGCAATTTGCTGAAAATTTCATTCAAATTGATTCACCATGAACCGAGAACTAAGCAAATGAAATTTCTGCCTAGCCTCGGTCATCATTACTAAAGTCAGTACGATAAACAGCATAGTCTCGATTATCCATTTAATCGTTTAAGCGAGAAGGAAAGTTATGCAGTAAATCGGCTCACAATCCACTTAAGATCGCAGGCTAGTGATGCCATCTAGAGTTGATTATGGTCTGGATAAGTTAATTAATGTCTAATTAATAATTTAGATAACATTTCAGGCCAGTAAATATCGCAGGCTAGCGACGACATCGAGAGTTGATTATGGTCTGGATAAGTTAATTATTGTCTAATTTATAATTTAGATAACATTTCAGGCCTAAAGAAAGACCTGCAATAGACAGATTTAGCTCGCGCATAATGTATGTTTAAAGATCCATTATGCAAGATTAAGATAAAGGGTTGAGATTTCTTGCTGTACTAGTTCAAAAATAGATAATACAAAGGGAATATGTTGAAAATTTCAGTCAAATTAATCCATTCTGAGCGGATTGCTGAATAGTGTAGTCACGATATTCATTGCTACCGTTGTTACGATAATAAACAAAGCCTCGATTATCCATTTTAAATTAAATCATTAACTGCCATTCGTATCTAAATCGGTTAGAAAATCTAGAGCATCCGATGGCACCGGGAGTATCATTAATAATTTAGATAACATTTAAGGTCTAAAGAAAGACCTGCGATAGGCAGATTTACATATGTTGCATAACTCAAGCAACACATGTTTTATAGCCCAATGCTATTTATTAGAGATACATTATGGGAAATTAGATACAGAGCTGGCAGTTCTCACTATAATATTTAAAAAATAGATCGGATTCAAACCCAGTGCAAATCTGACACATACAATGGCATCGAGAGTTGATTATGGCATTTTCATGTTAACAAATGTCTTATTAATAATTTAGATAACTTTTACGGCCTAAAGAAAGACCTGCAATAGGCAGATTTACCTCTTGAATAATGCATGTTAAATAAAGACATTATCTCTTCGTTTGACACACATACCTTCCTTTATCATATTTCGTTATGATCACATATTTAAAAACCCACAACAGTAATCCTAGTCTAACCACCAGCAGATTTTACAAGTAGGGATGTACGTGTATGGCCGAATGGTTTAACATAAGGTCTGTCATTGAGTAGGGTGGCGTGGTTTCCATTCCCCAATTGTACGTAACAGCCTCGTGGGTTTTCTCATGGTATTCCGGTTGCTCCCACAGCTAATGAACCATATGTTCGGCCCGAAATGATCTAGTTTGTGTTGTGCTAAACCCCATCTCTCTCCCGATTCCCTACTTGGTCGTGACAACCTCAAAGGTTTTCATCGGGTCCTCCGGTTCCTCCCACCGCTAAAGATCCCCCCCCCCCACTTCCCCCTCTCTCTCCCGAAATGTCCAGTTACCCTCCGTTATCTTATCACGCAGGAAAATTAATAGTTTCTTCACTCACAAAAGTTATTTGCTTGCTCGAACCCCTGCCTATCTACTCAACATCGAATACAAAGGACTTATTTAATTGAATCCCTAATAATTCTCCGTTATCCTTCTCATCTCGACTGAAACATCCAATTTATAGCATAATGGTAGAAAGACATCACCAAGTTTAGAACACATAGTGGGATTACTATTACAAGAAGGAGAAAATAACTTCAGGCACAAATTACAAACATTCTATTTCGCACGGTAAACTTCTATAATATAAACGTCCTTTCAAATGTATCATATCCTATGAACCGCTATAAAAGGTCATTGTCTACTGTGTTTTTTTCCCTATTGTACTATTTAATACGTTTTATTCAAAACAGAAACTAAAGCCAAGTAAATTGGACGCGATTCAACATGATTTTAATCATAGATAAAAAAAACCAACAACAACTTATAGTTTGTTTTCCTGGTTATCTTGACAGAAGCCGACTAGACCTAAATATATTCAGGGGCGGATCCAAGAATTTTTTGCAGGATGCCAACAATGTCTCTAAATTACGTAGGCATACATACACACTGAGCTTTTAAAGAGAGAAATCCAACACCCCGTTTGACGTCAATTTTATAATAAATCAATACGATCACATTGTTATTCAATTTCATTGATGCTACGCATTAATTCTGATATCACACATGTCTATATCATTATCTCGTGCTTTGAATGCCGAATCCCATCCCACCATCTGATGATAAAGGATAAAGCATACAACCGCGACACTTTTCTCATAAGGTGTTGTTTTACAAATTTTTCTATGTTGATGAGCAGGGTGGTATTTGGATCCCCCAAACCACCCCTCTCGATCAGCCCCCGATATGTTAAAGGCTAATTTAAAGATGTATAATGTAAGATGTGGATAGAGAACTGACTATTCTTGCTATAATAGTTCAAAAAATAGATAATGACAAGGGAATATCTGGACAATTTTAGTCAAATTACTCCATTCTGAGCGGAGTTAAGGCCGGTTGAATAACAGGGTAGTCCCGATTGTCATTGCTTCCGTTGTTACGATAATAAACAATGTCTCCATTACCCATTATTTATGCTAATAATATTTGCTCCCATCAGCTTCAAGAAAGAACAGAAGCCCCCCTGGATACATTAGCGTGCACGTAAAAGAATTCGATATAAGAGTAGACCGTAGCGCTGCTGACTGGATGGGAAAATGTCATTCGTATCCCGCTGTATAGCGTATGCCCGTCTTCATTAGCCTAGATGGAACAGAACAGTAGGACGTTAAACCCCCATTTCATTTATTTCCATCCATCGGGGGGGGGGGGCTGAATGGTTAGCGTGCGCGCGCTGTATCATAAAGTCTGTCATTGAGTCGACTGGCGTGGTTTCGAATCCCCGGTTGTACGTGACAAGGAGTAGGGTCGCCTGTCCAACCTCGTGGGTTTTCTCCGGGTCCTCCGGTTTCCCCCCACTGCTAAAGACTCCTATGCGCAAGCGAATTATTGAAATAAAATTAAAACCATATGTTAGTCCCGAAATGACCTAGTTTGTGTCGAGTGGACGTTAAACCCCATCTCTCTCTCTCTCTCTCTCTCCATCCATCGGACTGCCTAAAACGCCACCTGAGCGACTAGACGCTGTTCCTTGCCAGACCCTCTGTCCTTCGCCACACATAATTAAAACCATATGTTAGTCCCGAAATGACCTAGTTTGTGTCGAGTGGACGTTAAACCCCATCTCTCTCTCTCTCTCTCTCCATCCATCGGACTGCCTAAAACGCCACCCGAGCGACTAGACGCTGTTCCTTGCCAGACCCTCTGTCCTTCGCCACACATGGGGAAACCACGCGGCACTCCCCCGGGGTATTATCTCGGCCAACATCGAGTTGGAACCAGGTTCCTTCAAGTTAGCGCACTAGCGTCCACACACTGCGCCACCGCAGCTTAACCCTGATTAATATGAGCTGCGCAGAGATTGCTCGTGACAAAGAGTAAAACTGTCGCTTTTACAGCATAAGGGAGATAACTCGACACAGAAATGGGATCGCAAATAAAGTTCTACTGTTCTGCTCCGACTTGGCTAAGGAAAATGGGCCTACGCCATACAGTGTGCTATGAGGGAAATTTTGACCGAACAGCAGCACTATGGCCTACTCTTATATCGAATTCCAACTGACAAAGGATCTATTACGTGTACAGCTCCGTCCTGCACCACTGACAAGGGAAAACCACCCCAGAAAATCCCGACGAACTTTCTCGGCCAACACCGGAATCGAACGAGCGACGTACTTTGCCACCGTGGCTCTATTTCGACACAGACCCAGTGGCGGATCCAGAGGGAGGGGGGGTGGGGGGTCGACCCCTGCTCAGCTACATAATTTTTTTTGTAAATCAACATTTTTTATGAGAAAAGTTTCTCGGCCGTGTGCTTAATCCTTTATCGTCAGATGTGGGACATGATGGGCACTCAAAGCACGGTATAATGATATAGACATTATGTGATATCACAATTAATGCTTTGCATCCATGAAATTGAATCACAATGTCATTGTATTAATTCATAATAAAAA